TGTGTGTGTGTGTGTGTGTGTGTGTGTGTGTGTGTGTGTGTGTGTGTTAACCTTCTCCCCACAGGCCATTCTAAGACTTTTGAGTTGTTTCTTGAAAATCCGTAGTACATATTTTTCAACAAGCCAGTAAATTGAATGATCACAGTATTGCAGTGTCCACCACAGCAGAGAACAAGGATTAACAGAAATGTGCCTTTTAGATCATTAAAGTGATGGATCAAAAATAATTACTCAAGTGTGGAGATGACCAACCCAACAAATTGAAAGCAAAAGAAAGGTCAGGAACCACTGTGTTAAGGGGATAAAAAAGACTAACCTTGTAACATGGTGCACATTTTGAGAAACTTTGCTGCATACTGTAAATAGCGGTTGCTTTTGCCATGGTTTTCGCTGAAGTTTGTTGGTGAAACTTCTGACCTTGAAGCTGGAATGCCTGGCATTTACTCCGTTGGTGCCAGCCCTCCATTCAACATGTTACTAACCACTGAAGCTACAGTATGCAGGTTTCTTTATCCAGCATTCTCACTTACATTGAACTCGTCTGACCTCCCAGCACCTCTTTTTTCCTGGTAGGAGGGATTTTTGTGCATTTCCTGTTCCATTAAGATCCTCCCGCTGGTTTTTTATTATCAGCCTTGTTCGCCATATGGTCTCTTCATTCAGTCTGCCCCAGTTTCTCCCCTCTGCATCTTATCTTTGTGTATCTTGTTCAGAGGTCCACCAGCATGCCACAGTTTCTAAGGAAAGTAAACATGGCAACCAGAGTTTCATGGAACTCCATGAGAGTTGTTTCCATTTGACCTGGGATGAATTATGTATCCGCGTTGATGCAGCTGAGAAATGAATAACACTTCTGAGAAGAAAAACCCTTGTCCCTTGGATATTTGAATAAAGTCAAGAGTGAGTAACACAATTACAAACATTTGTCACAAGGGGCTGCTCAGGATTGGGAAATGCAGATTGAGTCAAAAAAAGAAATCCTGAAAATCCACTTGGTCACATTTTGGGCCATTGCCTGGTAATCGTATTTTTATTTAAAGTACAAGATGGGTAAAGACAGCTCAGTGAGACAGGATGTTATACAGGTTAGCCATTGAGTTGAATGTCATATTTGTATGTTTGGAAAAAAAATAGTTTGCAAAGAATAAATTTCAGAGCACAAATCTGCCTGGTATTTGTGGATGGTCCTGCATAATTGTGGTCGGAAGTTAAGTTTACACTTCTTTAAATCAGAAATGTCATAAAGCACTCTGTAGACTTTAACATTACCCTGCAATAATAAAGTATTGCAGTTAATTAGAACGACTAAAAATATCATGTTGATGATCAACACGCTGAAATAAAGGCACACAGTCTGACTTTAGTAATGCAGAGCATGAGTTGCATCGTCGCCATTGTTTTCCATCATCGGTGATCAGATGGGGAGTTTCTAGGTGAATGCAGCAGAGTTCAGAGAGCCAGAAACCAAACTGTTTTCAACCTCAACTGTTGAAATAACTGTCAGTACAGAAATAAGTGGCTGAGATATTAAATAATCAGCCACCGTCGCTAGCATCTCTGCAGGACGTTTAAGAAAGAGAGCAGATGCATGTTGGGCCAGACTTCCTGTTAAACATGTATTTTGACTGAGGGCAGAGCCCAGACCGGCATTCCTTCTGAGTGGACGTGCTCTTGCAAATAGCTGAGATGTTTTTAGACATAAAATGTGAACTGGTTGGGTCATAACGCAGCGTTGTAACACGTGATGATCCCTGTTTTCAAAGCAGGAGATCCTTGTTTGCCTCTTTATCCTCTAACACGTATATCCTATAAGTATGTGAAGTCTTTTAATACCGTATTTACCGACAGTAAAGTGATGAAGCAGGTGATCTTTAGGTATCCACAGCAGGGCCTTTTCTGGGTTACCGGATTATGGAAACTTCATAAGACCTTTTACACCCTTTGACCAAAGAGCTGCAGATGATCTGGAACAAAAACCAGTTATTAACCTCCCAGTAGCACAACTGGCTGATGATTACAACTCTTAAAGGTTATCTGTGCGATATTCAGAACATTAAAGAAACATCAAAACATGATTCGCTATGTGATGATATAGTGGAGTAATGTCTACCGGAACAGAGAATGAAGGCGCTCTCCCTCTGTGCGTTCACATGTTAGCTCATGTGAGTGTGCCCGACTGTCCATAGCTGACGAGCTCATATAGCCGTTACAGCTGATAAAGCCCTCCTGACCTACGGCTTGGCTGCGGAAGCGGAGCACCCACCCTCTAGTTCCTTTTAGGTAAACACTGTTAGCTCTGTGAGCGCTGATGCCGTTGTTTGCACAGCGGCCGCTTGCACAGTTAGCCGCAAGCTGCCGGCTCAGCCATCGTGTTGAGAGCCATGTGACGGCAATAGATAAGCCATATGCTCTGAAGTTGTATCGAGCACCTTATGTTGTCCACTTGACATTGTTTGCAAAAGGGTAACTTTATTGAGTTCTTCGGCTTGTTGTGTTTTCAGGGGCCGCTTTGAGAGGACTGTGCTGTGCAGGACGTGTGGGGGGAAAAAACGCAGAGGGAAGGTAGAAATGTGGGCGACGTGCTCATGTGTTTTGGTCTGAGAAGCAGTGCTCTTGTGCGACATCAAGTGGTTCAAAATATCACATTGCTCCTTTAATGCCCTGCTAACTTTACCTACAGACACAACCCGTGCTCACTCCCAACTCATCAAATACCAATGGTTGGTCAGTACCCCTTGGCATCGGAAATCAACGCATTGAGGCCCCCTTTCGCGGCTGTACGCGATGTACCGGGCTTTTCACTAACTCCAATGTAAACCCTCCCGCGGCTTTAGTGGCCAGTAAGAGCATGTGACATAGTTTAAAACCCATGATAGTCTGCTCATGGTGGGTTGGGGGGTGGTGGATGGGTCAAACAAACGCAGGACTTCATCCAGGAGAGCTGTGTTTGTGTCCCATACGAACTAAAAGTACATGTGGACGTTTTGTCACCTGAGAGACACCAGAGGGGTACCTAGTGCGTTACTCTCCGATGCCAAGGGGCACTGACCAACTGTCGGTGTTTGACACATTGGGTGTGAGAATGTGTTGACAGACCACAGACTGCATATGGATGTAGTCAACGTGAAGTCGCCATCTTGTTTTTTTGCAACCAAATTGAACCCACAAAGTGGAGCTAATTATAGGCGAACGCAGAATAAGACATTTAGAGGCAACCAAAAAGGTTACAATTAACTTTCATGAAATGAAAACACGCTGAAAGGGTCAAAGTTCTAAGATGAAAACGCAGACCAGCTCCCAGACCTGAAAACCCCCTGGTAGGGACCTGTCAATCACAAGGTAGCCACGCCCTAAAGAATACTCTGCTTTATTTTCTGTTTTACTCTTAATGGAATCATAATTTACCAGATGAACATCACGCTGTATTGAAGAAGAATTGCAAACTAGCGATTGAGACCATAAACCCATGTTTACAATGTTTACTGAGGTAATAAATCAAATGAGAAGAAGGGTCATTTTCTCATAGACGTCTATAGAGTTTGAGGCACTTCAGCATTAGCTTCACTTTTCAGAACCAGAGGTTTCCCCCTGCTACAGACTTAATAAAAATGGATCACTGCATTTTTACCAAATTAAATGATAAATTCCAGCCAATTGATTTTTCCGATCCATAAATATTTTATGGCTGCTGACTAATCTATAAGCATTAGCAAAATAGGCATTCGTTGCAACTTATCTCGCTCTTTATAAATGGTGCCCATTAAAAAGTATTGCCCATACTTTAAGAACAATATCTATTGTTTTTTTTATTTAGTTTGGGTGACTTTAGTTCTGTAGCGGTTGTGAAGATACATATCTGGTACATAACTGTCACCCTAACGTGATTCAGAGGTGATGATCTAACTGCCTGCCGCTGACTCGTCTGACAGCTTGCTGATTTAAGATACTTGTAGTTTTCTTCCCGACGTTAGGGTGCTCGTCAGCGTGCGCACACTGCCCGCCCTTTGCCAAGAACATTGCCGACTTCAGGGAGGCTGGCGAGTGGGGGGAGTGAAGAGAGACAGTCATTTTTTCCCTTGGTCCTGAGGGGTCTCCTTCTCTATATAAGGCACTGTGAGCTGCTCGGGAGTTACACAGCTCCTGTGTGCTTCAGGAACACCGCCAACAAGCAGCAGCCCGGTGCTCTCACAAGGGAATAATACAGCTCTCCAGCGCGCAGAGGAAACCGCTCCGAAATATTCAACTGAATACTTGAGAAAGACAGAGGTGAGCACTTGCAATTTATTGTGTTTTAGATGTCAGTAACGCTGAGGTATAGCGGGGTTTTTACTGTTGATAGGCGCAGATTATTCTCAGTTTTACCTATATCTGTAATGCCAAAATAATATGATAAACTGTGTGCAGATATCACTAAATAGAAATGATCACTGAAATACTATTTGTAAATTAAGATAAACCTGTATCCCTAAGCCTATTTAAATTTTCAAATTGATTTAGTATTACAATATGAACTCTGATGATTTCAGTTGTGGGTTACAAACCATGCCACTGTAAAAGTGCAAGACACTGCCATTCATTGAGTCTGCAGCTTCACTGAGCAAATGTCAATGGGAGAGCAGCAGCTCCCTTTATGGAAAATGTAATGCTAGATTTCAAGTCATTAAGACAATAAAAACCCCATACTTCATACTTTTTTTTTAGAGTTCTAGGGCCAGCCATTGTAAAAAAAGAATAACTGGTGTAGTGTCAGTCTTTAAAGGGAATGAAAAAGTGAGCAAGCATCTATTTAAATATATAAATCAGACAATTATATTGGGACATAGGTTGTGTTTACATTCAACCTCGTGCTGAGGCTGAGAGGAGGTCAGTCCCTCCTCAGATCAGACACCAGCCAGCCAGTGGCAGAGAGGGCTCAGTTCCCATAGACAAGATGTGGATGTATACGTGTGTCCGATTCATCTGCTCCATCTGTCACTCTGGTATAAAATTCATGAGAGCCATGAGAAGGGCCCAGACAGAGAAGTTGGTAGAGGTTCAGTGTGAAAAGGGGGGCACGGGGAGAGGAGAAGGGTGTGGTGCTTGAGCTGCCCGCTGGCTCACAGTGCCCAGAGCTGGTACAGCATGTTGACACAGAGCCGGTGCCAGACCTCGAACCTTTTCAGCCAGATGGAAAGAGGTGAAGGGAATCAAGGATGAGAGCAACCAGTCCGAGCCAGAGCTTGGTTTATTATTTGTTTCTTCTCTGATCACCCTGACGGACTGAGTTATACTTTGTGATATTGGGTTTAGCTCTAATCTTGGACGTAATGCTTGTTGCCTTCCAAAGGGAGGTCAGATGTATGGTCAGTTACAGAACATCCCCCCTGGATGTGTCAGGAAGAAAGTGTTTTGCGGTTCAGCAGGGTGAAAGCTTGTCAACCTGAACTCAGGTCTCCCTCCTTATTGTCTCGCCCTATACTGCTCAGTTTGGTTAGAAAATAGTCAGAGTCAGGAGACGAGGAGACATATTACTTTTGTGTTCACGGTAAATAATTAAAGCTGTTTAAAATAAATTACTTTCATGTTAAATGTTGCTCACTATAACATGTTGGGCTCACAAGAGGTTCACTCTCAGAATGATAATGAAACAATATAATGTCACAATATATTAACAGGATCATAATGTAGTCATATCTGGGAAGCACAATATGTTGCTAGACACATCTATGGTTCACCACAGTATCTGATAGAGACAGAGGAAAACATAGCTCTTAAATTGAGATCACCCTATACAGCCTCAAAAGGACCCGACACATGACCTGTTAACACCTCAGTGTAAGCAATTGCTGAACATGCAAAGCGTCTCAGGAGAAAGACTGATTGCATGGCTGCTGCATTGGATGGCATCAGATTATTTTTGTGTTCCTGTTAAGAGTTTTGATACAACAACCACAAACTGGCAAAAGGCTGAACTGACAGAAAGCAGAACATCTGAGAATAAAATGTCCAGAGTTGAGAGAGGACTTTCAGTTTACTTTGCCTCATCATCATCAACTGTGTGCCAGTAGCCCTGCACAAGATAACACAATACAGCTTAAAGAATGGAGCATTTTACATTTACACATCAATATTTTATCCCAGCCCCAATAAATGCACAACTTGGTTATAGAAAAAACTCCGACATTAATTTAGTAATCTGTACTCTGCTTTGTTGACTCTCACAGTAGGGAAAGACTCATTCAATATTTCCTCTCTGCAGGTTGCGTCTGGGACTTTAAACGCACTCTGCCTGTCTACTGCAGTCTGAAAGTTCAACCCAGACAGCTGAAGTGTCAGAATGACCTGCGCTGCCATGACCTGGATCCTTGTCTTCTCCCTCCTGCTGTTGTGCGTCAGTGACTCAGCTTCCCTCTTCCTGCCCGACTCCAATGAGCTCAGGCAGCTGCTGAGCCGCTACGAGGAGGCAGCGGACCAGAACAGCCCCAGCAACACAGCTGGCAATAGGACCCGACGTGCCATCCGCTGGTCGGACCGTGAGGAGATCCTCCAGCTGCACAACAAGCTGAGGGGCTCCGTTTACCCCACTTCCTCAAACATGGAGTACATGGTGAGACAAGTCCCACTATCCCATTTACTGATTCCCCTATTACTCTTAAAGATGATTCAAATTTATCAACTGTAATCTTTAGCTTTACCTCACAAAGAACTTCAATTTAATGTGTCAGCAACCTCTTAAATGGGGCTTTTTCTCTCTGCTGGAAACATGCAGTCATGATAGCAAGCTGTTGCCAGCCTGCTGTGCTGCTCTTTTACAAGGAGGATAATAAGACTGACTCTGTCCAACCTGAAAGCAGCTCAGCGCTAGAGAAGAAAGGAGAGCGAGTGGGGGCTGGGTCAAAGGAAAACAGCGAGAATTTGGCTAGGAAGGGAAATCCTGGGACAACGTGGCACATCAATGAGTAAAGTAGAAGAGGGATTATTGTTGAGACACACAGGAGGTTATAGAAAACCACAAGGTCCATGAAGTTGAGAGAAGCAGTGGCGGCTTGTGTCTCTGGAGTGCGGTTATAGCAGGGAAGGAAAGTGTCTGAAGATTTACGTCGCCCAGTGCTCTCTCAAATTCCAGCGAACAGGCAGTGTGTGTGTTTGTGTTAGTGAATGGGTGTTTGGCGTTACAGTGATGTCTGCGTGTGCATGTTTTAGCGACCACCAAAAGGCTGGAAATTTACTGAAGAGTTGTGCTTTGAGGGGCCGTGCTGTATGCAGTCCTCCCTCCCTTCACAGCGCCTCATCCACTAAGAGAGTCAGGTGTCTTCTCCCCTTTCCACCCTGCTCTCCACCGCTGTAAAGAAACCCAATGTGGAAATCTGGATAATTCAGCTGTGATTGCTGGAGATTTGTAGTGGACCAGGGCCAGGCGCCAGCTGCCCCACTCAAATGTCACCGTCAAAGGTTAACTTTGTACTTGTATCCAGCTCAGTTTCAGCTCACTGGGAAGGAAGGAAGTGCAGAAGTAGAGGCCTTGAACAAGTTGTGGTTAGGTACCTGCTGCACAAGATGTGGGTTATAATGCTTTATATTGTAGCAGATGCAGCAGGTGAATATTGCAAAGTCTTCTTATTGGTGTCTAAAGCAGTGAATTACTCGTGAGAAACTGTGTTTTACTTTACGTGTCCAGGTTTGGGATGATGAGTTGGAGCGGTCTGCCACTCAGTGGGCAGAGCAGTGTCAGTGGGACCATGGACCGCAGGACCTGCTCATGTCTATTGGACAAAACCTGGCTATTCACTGGGGAAGGTGAGATGCAATAACACACATGTAGTCAGCTACAGTATGTGTTTTTCAAGAATACAAATGCATCTGTACCACTTTCTGATAAGACACCAAAAATGATTTACAAATTCTTGCTACAAGTTTTATAATTGGTTAGTTAAGCATTTACTAATGCTTTGTACACAAGTTATAACACATTTATAAGACCCGCGTCCATATGACTGCTGTTTGCCTTTTTTAGTTTATATTACTGCAGTAAGAAATGGTACAAATTCATTATAAGATGTGTAATAAGCTGTTAATTAGTAGATTATTGTCCAGGTCCTCTGCAGCCCTTTTGCAGAAGGTGATATTGGGATAGGGAACATGGTAAACATAATACCTGCTTAGCATCTGCATTTTAGGATTTTAAATAAATCCATGTTGACGTTAGCATTTAGCTCAAAGCACCGTTTTCCCTATGTACAGCCTTACAGAGTCGATAGCCTGACTGTGGACTCTTGTGGACTTTTTCGTACGTTTCAGTTTTCTATTTAGTTAGTTTAGAGTTGTTCTGTCACATAATCAACAGGTCATACCGATTTTCTATGTACTTACTTATCGTAAGTATAGTCTGAGATGTCAATGTTGCAAGTGGAAGTTGTTTCCTGTAAACTACAGTGATGACTGCTGATCCTTCAATAAAATATCGGTCCATTGTTATGTAGCATCATGGGTGGTGTTACCCAGTGCTAGCCTATTAAAGTTGATGTTTGTGTGACTGAGAATGTGTGTGTGTCTGAGTAGACACCAGACACACTAGACCTCTGTGCATGACAGTGTATGTCTATCGCAGCAGGTGCCCTTGCAGGAATCTGCTCCCATTCTCACAGCCCTTTTCCTCCCCCGCTATTCCCTTCTTTTCTTCCTGTGCCAGCAAACCCTGATGTGGAGTCTTTTTTTTCCACTCCCCCTCTTCTCAGTCATTTAGAAGCTCAGCACTTTTCAATACCGTAAAAAGAGATGTTTATAACAAGAGCATGAACAGATTTGTTTGGCTGTGGAGCTATGTTTACGTTTGCTCTGATTCTTTTTTTTTTTTTTTTTCAAGCTGATTTGATTTCCCCTGTTAAGGAGGGGGAACACGGTTCTGTGTGCCAGGTCAAATTCAGAATCATCATTTGAGGCCTGAAAGGAGGAGGAGAAAGGGCAGCGAGGTTCATGCAGTGATTCTCAAGTCTAGCCAAAGCACCTGGCAGCTCCCGCAGATATTTCCCTTTTGGCCCTGGTACCTGGACGGCGTGTGACTGAGCCTACTGTTGTCTGTATGTATGTATGTGTGTGTGTGTGTGTGTGTGTGTGTGTGTGTGTGTGTGTGCGCGTGCACTTGGGTCCAACAGATACCGCTCTCCTGCCTTCCATGTCCAGGTCTGGTACGATGAAGTGGAACACTACACCTATCCCTACCCCCAGGACTGCAATCCTTGGTGTCCAGAACGCTGCTCTGGGCCTATGTGTACCCATTACACCCAGGTGAGATGAATAAGAAAAGAAAACAGAGCAGGGCTCCAATCAAAATCTTTGGTTCTGCTTCATTGTTTGCTGCACTATCCAGGTTTATATAGGAATTGTTCTATTCTGATTTATAGAACTACAAAGCTAAATCGGTGGAGTACTCCTATAACTAAGCACTTGGCAGTAGGGATGTCATGAGAACCGCCAAAATCATTGTCCGACTCTTACAGCTTCCAGTCATGATCGAAAAGTTCCCTGATAATGCTTCATTGTGGACAATGAATCAGTGTTGAACTCAGCAGAAAGAGAGCTAGTAATATTAGCTATTAGCAATCGCTGGGCAGCACAGTCCTGTTTAACTAAATAACAAAGCTAACAGCTAACGTTGACAGAGGTTGCATTGAGTTACATTATAATGCGTTCAAGCTCTACTCAGTAAAAATTATTATTGGGCGAAAGTAAATTATAACATTATTATGATGTGTTCAAATGTAATCTTGCAAAATTTTGATTTTGGCGAGAAACTTGAGGCAGATCACAGGGGATCATTTGATGAATTCGCAAAAATGAGTATGCATTGAAGTACACGGGGTTGTTTTGTTTTTTGTTTTTTTTCTTGTATGGCGATATCCGTACATGGCAGTGAGTTGTAAGCTTACTCTCAAATCGATCAATTACTGCAGGAAGCTGAAAAGGTGGCGTTGTGCTAGGTGTTATTTTAGGTTGAAATATATTTTTCAACTTCCTTTTGAAACGTACGCTGTAATGTCTTCCATATTTATGATCAAATCTGTTTAGTATCAGGTCATGTGTCTTTTATCTGTAATATGGAACATATGTCACTTGACAGGTGTTGCTGGGATACAACATGTGGTGTGCACCCTGTAGTATTTATTGTCCCAGTTGTGGAGGAACTGAGGGATTGAATGACATACATGGATATAGTGACTTGTAGACAGCGAAGGATGGAAGGAAAATCAGACGCAAATAATGGACAGAGAGAAGAGTGGATGAGAACATGAAGAAATCAATCAAAAGCAAACAGAAATGGCTGAGCTGGCCACCTCTTCCCCTAGACTTTACTTTGTAGCTGCTGGGATGAGTTTACCGAAACATCCAGACTCCTCCCTCTGCCTTCACCCTGAAACCGGATCACTGCCATCTGGTAGTCATTTTCAGACACACCAGACACCACTGACTGCTTGACCTGGATTCTTCAAAAGATGCTGCAGATCGGAGACAATGCCAAATCTGAGCATCATCACCTTGTCTCTATCTTTCATTGGCTGGAAGTGCTGATATACCTGCTGTCCAGGCAGCCATACTCCATAACTACTTCTGCGGAGAACTGCTAGACCCTCTGGAGTTAGAGTGTACAGATTGAGCTTAACTACCAGCACTCACCTGAGTCAGCACAAATCAGTCTGTGTGCTGACTCACTGCTTCCAGTGGCTTCTAACTGTACCAGGGAAAAGATAAACAGTCCTGAGCAGGGAGAGTGCACATGTTTCAGAGTTTGGGAGGAAAGTGAGGAGGAGTTATGGAACATGCTTGTGTTGTATTCACCGTCAAATGGCACATCATTCATCTGGAACACTCCTGCCGCAGCTTTCCGTTTAATTTGGCATTTCTTTTTACCGTGGACAGTTTTGAGCGTAGGCGGAATTCTATTTCTTCAAAGTTAAGATATTAAGAACTTCCATTTTTATCCACTTCTATCAGGGTGATGAAAATGATCATGATTGGGTCACTGAGGGCAAACTGGGTTCATCCACCCAACGTCCATCTAACTGGGGTAGAATAACAGACCAAGCAGTCCTGGAGGTCCCAGTGGTCCCATTAATCGTGACTGCCAATCTGGAATGACTGATGGAACAATGGGCTACAAACTCAGTTTACTCTGCTGTGTCTGATAATTACAGTTGTTCATCCTAACTTTGACTACTCTTTTATTTCCCTCTATACAGCTGGTCTGGGCAACCACTAGCCGAGTGGGCTGTGCTGTGCACGTGTGTCCAAGAATGGACGTGTGGGGAGACATATGGGAGAACTCTGTTTACCTTGTGTGCAACTATTCCCCAAAGTAAGCTCAGTTTTCCTCCACTGTTCATCAACACTTCTGCTCTTTTGTCTTCTGTGTTTACATTCTTCCTCCTTGCAGTGCTGACAAATGCTACAGCGTGTACCCCTAAGATAGCTGCACTACAGATACAGTATGTAGCACAAGTTGTCCAATAGATTTGTGTGACATATTGTAGCCATTAAAATTCTTCCAGAATTCAAAATAGAATAATAATAATATAGCATGGGGAAAGAAAAACAAGTGCAGAGCAGGCGCTTGTTTTCCAGACGACCCACAGGATGTAATTACCTGAGAGACAACGATGTTTTTTATTAGTTCGTGGGATTAATGACTATTAGGAGTGTTGACAATGGACAAAGAGCGCAATGAGCCCAGTGACCCTTGACTGATGATTCATTTCCACCTTAGTCAAGCTGTCCACTGTTCACTTCTGCAGGGGCAACTGGATCGGTGAGGCTCCATACCAGCAGGGCCGCCCTTGTTCCCAGTGCCCTCCCAGCTATGGAGGAGGATGTAAGAATAAGCAATGCTACAAAGGTGAGCAAACCCACATGGTTTTCATTCAAAGATGTTAACCTTCAACATGCTACCAACCTGAGCCCTGATCTGTTTGTCCATCTAAAGACTCTCAGCGCTCAGAGACAGAGGACATGAATGAGGTGGAGAAGCCTCAGGGTCCACTGCCACCTCGTACCACCCCCAAACCTGCCCCCAAACCTGCCCCCAAACCTAGAGCATCTACTCCCAAAAAACCAGCATCCAAACCCACCACACCAAGGACGCCATCTTCAAAGACTCCCAGCAACACCTTTCTTGGTAGCTGCAGGAATTATTGAAAATAACTATAAACATTCATGTTTTGTACATTTCTTAACTAATTTATGATGGTATTTTTGCAGCTCAACACATCAAGTGTGAGACTAGACTGCGAGATAAGTGTAAAGGCACTACCTGCAACAGGTCAGGTTCATTTTTTCGAATGTGCACAAAATAAGTCTTATTTATTCTGATATATTATAAACTTCCTCCGCAATTTAAACTCATTCTTGTCTCCATCTGATTTTCTGACTCTGCAGATATACATGTCCTGCTAACTGTCTGAATAAGAAAGGGAAAGTTTGGGGAACTCTCTTTTACGATGTGGTGAGTATGTCCAACATGAAACAAACATCTCTGCATCATGCAACAATTTGTACTGAAAATTAATATTTCTTCATTTTTTTCAATTGTTTCAGCAATCAAGTATTTGCCGTGCTGCTATTCATTTTGGTGTCATTGACAACAACGGAGGAGTGGTCGACATTACTAGGATGGACAAGTATCCGTTCTTTGTCAGAGCCACTAAGAATGGCATTGAGTCCTTCAGGTAGATGTTGGACCTGATTTTTCCAAATAAGTTGCATTTGCATTACATTTGCTGGTTCACTACGATTCACATCTTGTGCAATAACGAAATTTCCTTGGAACCATTTTCTTTCCGAATTTCTAAACACTGTGTTGTATTTTACAGTAAATATAAACCCGGTAATGCCTTTGTGGTGGCCAAAGTGGAAGGTAAGTGAGACACAGTTTTTAAGAAGAACTTTGACTTATGGTTGCATTTAGATTCACACAGTCAGACAACAGATATTGGGTATAATAAGTGTTTTTCTCTTCTCTCTGTGTGACAGAAATGACTGCTGACTGCTACACCACAGTGGCTGAAATCTGCCCTTTCAAAACGCCCAACTCACACTGTCCAAGGTGCCTCCTCACATCCACCATCTTATCATTCTCTAAAGCATATGATGAGCCAATTACAGGTTCTGCTTTACAGTTACTCCTCCTGGGGGGACCCATAAGTGATATTCTTATAACTCCTTACAACTGTATTATACTGTATGATAAACAATGTAAAACTATGTAGCGCTTATACATGCTAAATCGAAAGTAACGTGTTAAAGCATATTTTTATTAATGTGACCTTTAGCCGTTGCTGCAAATTTATACTTATATCCAATTTGTTTCCCAGGGTCTTCTGTCCGGCCAACTGCAAAACTCAGCCTTCCTATTGGTCGCCTGTAATTGGAAACAACATCTACACCGATGTAAGTTAAACACTGTTCTGGATTTGCATGTTCTGAAGGACCTTGATCAGGAATCATGAATGCATTTTTATTTATTATTTATTTAAGATAAATCTGGATCTGCAAACTAAATGAGTACAACAAGTAAGGCATCAGGCAGGTGCAGAATAAATATCGGATGTGTATACACTTAATCAATGGCATATCAAGGCTAGTTTATCTCAGAGGTAGAGAATGTCCATGACAAGACGACAGCTAAAGTGACCAGTTGCTCAATACATTTTAAGCGAGTGTAGACCAGTTACAGATTTGTCATTCTTTATACCAAGTAGTTTTCCTTTTCTCAGTTTAAGTGGTACAGTGTACCATATCAGGTTCCTACCCTCACCTATGGTCACGAACTCTGGGTCATGACCGAAAGGACAAGGTCGCGGTTACAAGCGGCCGAAATGAGTTTCCTCCGTAGGGTGGCCGGGCTCAGCCTTAGAGATAGGGTAAGGAGCTCGGTCATCAGGAGGGAGCTTGGAGTAGAGCCGCTACTCCTTTGCGTCGAAAGGAGTCAGCTGAGGTGGTTCGGGCATCTAATTAGGATGCCTCCTGGATGCCTCCCACTGGAGGTTTTCCAGGCACATCCAACTGGGAAGAGACCCCGGAGAAGACCCAGAACACGCTGGAGAGATTACATCTCCCAGCTGGCCTGGGAACGCCTCGGGATCCCCCAGAATGAGCTGGAACATGTTGCCGGTGAGAGGGAGGTCTGGGTCGGCCTGCATGGCCTGCTGCCACCGCGACCCGACCCCGGATAAGCGGTGGAAAATTGATGGATGGATGGATCTGCAGCATGGTTAATTTAGAGTGACTTTCCAGGCGTTGTAAAGCCTGGAAAGCCATTGAATCAGAGTATGACTTTGGCTCAATAGAGAATGGGAGTCATCATGGTGAGGTAAGCCAGAGACTGCCAGAGACTGCCAGGGATGCATCACCCAGCATGGGGCCGGACCACTCAGACGCTTATTCAAGTGTTATCTCGGGCTAAGTGCTTGTGTTTCAGAGATAGGAGACAGAAATGGTTTCATGAAACTGGTTTACATCATCCCTCCGAAGTCGCCTAAATCAGAGTAGATTAGTCATTGTAATGTTCCCTCCAGGCTAAATTCGTCAGATGTACAGTTTGTAGAAATTCCCGTTACTCTTGTGGATTATTTGGGAGTTTCCAGTTTGCACAGTCACATGAGGTCGACATAGTGTTAAATGGGGTAATATCTTGGAAACAGACCTTAGATGACGTCCGGCTGGACATAAATCACATTTCCCCAGAGATTTTGAACGTCTTACTACGGTCACAGTATAAGGCAGCCGTGTGGCTCACAGCAAATGTGCCCAGGAAAGGTTTGCAATCTCAGGCACGCAAATGTGTTTCTACTGTGGCGTAGAAGCTGGATGTTGGTTAGAAATGAGACATAAACCATCTGGTGAGAAGTGTTGTTGGAGTGTATGGACAGTGTGATCTGTGTTTAGACTAGAATTTAATGATTCTGCTCCAGACTGTTGATAAGCACTTGCAGTCTGTTGTACTGGCTCGGATTGTGAAACAAACGCTTGTGTATGTGTGTCTGTGAATTACTGCAATATATTTTGTGCTGTATTTGAAAATAAAGGAATTGAAAAGGCTGTAAAAGTATTTCTCCTCTTTTTATGTTATCCTCACAGAGCTCCAGTATTTGTAAATCAGCCATCCATGCAGGGCAAATCAAAGCAGATGGCGGTTTTGTGGATGTTCTGCCACTGGACAAGAGAAAGAACTATGCTGGAGTCCTGAAAAATGGCATCCAGTCTGAGAGGTACTACTTCATTTTTAACTACTTTTACTGTAATTATCTTTCCCAGATGGGGATTGTTGCACAATAACAAAAGGTACAAAGATAAATTGCTAAGGCACCATGTCAAATAGTGACAATAGAGATAGTCAGTGTTCCAGAAATCTATATTTTTAGATTTGGCTCAAAGCAGTCTGGCTGTAGAGTATTCAAGAGAAGCGTTTTTTTTTTTTAAACCTAAAAATGAGAATAACCACTCATGTTTAGATATGGCATGTGGCAGATTCTATCAACAAACAACCATTTGACAGCTGCGAAACTGCAAAGCCTTCTTACTTGTGATGAACGCTATCAGTGAAGCCAGGGGAAGTTTGGGAATTTGTTATTAACACATTAACGCTAATAACACATGTACAAGCACCTAATACATCTGCTACTGTTGCAGGTTGAGGAGTAGAGCGTGTAATCTGCTAAAGTCTTATAGGAGTCAGTAGTATGTTTGGTTTGGTGGTTAGGATCCCCGAATAATGGCATTATATTTTCCCAAACCGCTAGCAAGCTCAAACTGAATTATACTTGGATTTACGCAGGGTCAGCAAACTGACTACACTAAATGGCATGATAAAAATACATAGGGTCCCACCCTAACAGGTGTATCCAAGCAAACAGCAGAGTCAAGTCTGCACACAACCACAGAGTCATAAGAAGATGTCTAATTCGGCAAGATTGAGAACAGCTGTTTGGGTGGGCAGTCGGTGTGTAGGGGCTTTGAATAGCCATCTTGTTTAATGGGGTACATTCAGCCTGACTGTGTTCATGATAGACGAGTACCCATTTTGTTTTTTGTTTTGGTCTAACCAATCATAGCGAGGGACAGATCTGTGAAGCTAAATTCATATGGAGATAACACAAATGCTGCCATAGCGGTTTGCAGCTAACTCAAATATTTTTTTACGTTGATCAAAGAAATATGTGGATTTAAAAGTGTTATTTCTGTATGACGACTTACAACTGTTTATTGAATGTAACTGGGTAGCTACTAGCTAGCTAGTGTTCTTTCTCTAACTACTGGGGTAAACAGCCTTCAATGGACACAACACCAAATTTATTTAAATTGCTAAACAAAATTGAGATGTTGTTCACAATAATCATGCATGTAAGTGCTAAAGGTGTTTTTAAAGGTGAATATCTAATTAAAGTCAGTTTAAAACTGAATTGTATGTTGGCGGTTATATAATGTGTAGATAATATTCGTCTGAGCTTAGCTCAGGGTTTATGATTTGACCCATGGGAGTGTGGTAAAGAAAGCCTTGATACACAACTGAAATGAAAACATGGAGCTTGTTGTAAAATTAGACAAGTACATTTGACAAGAGTATCTATAAAATGCCTGAGAAAGGTGCTGTTATTCGCTATACAATACCTTGATTTATGTCTCCTGTTATACTGCATGTAGTGGGTTCCCTGCATGCACACCATGTTTCTCACATCACTCTCATGACTGTGGTCAGCTCCAGCGGACTATGCTTAGGCAAGGAAGCCCATGCGGGCAGTCCTGATGGCATGTGGGGTTGAAAGAGTAATGGTGTGGTTTGGTGTGTGGATGGGCCACACATGGGATCTTTGCTTACTTTACTCAGGCATTTCAATTGAGTGTGCAAAGTGCTGAGCGGCCAAAATAATCCAAGACGGACTACTATGAAATCTAATGCATAACTGCGAAGGCCCCACTCAGGGCACTGGGATAGGAGGTCAATAAACGGCTGAGAGGGAGCCCGTGCCATGTGCCAACATCATGGCAGGGTGGCCAGTTTGGACTGTTGCTGGGGAAGTAATCACAGCCTATCTGATTACTCGAGGATGGAAATGCTGCAGCCACTTAGTCAGGGATTTCCTATGTGGACAATTATCTGTGATCTGATACCAATCGCACAGGCCCATCATGATTATTGATCATGGCAGAGCTTCAAGGTCTCTCCACCAGCGAAGTAATCATAAAGTCATCAAGTTTAACACATGTGGTAGCTTGAAAAGGTCAGACTCGTATATACGACAACAATGAGTCATACTGCCAACATGCCATTTACGAAGATGCTGTGAACACCATGATTGTGTGCTTTTTCATGGACTTGGCTGCTGGCAGTACTTGGACAATACTAAAAAACAGACTTCCAAGTATCACAAAAACAAATGCAAAAAGATTTATTTAACTCCGCGGGCACCCTACACTTCAATGTACTTGTCACAAGGACTACTACTCTGCCTGTGAACACAGTTATATAACGTCGTCTGTAGATTTAGATGTGGATTTCCAAAGTTTGAGGGTCAAATTCACAAAAGGATTAGGTAGCTTTTTTTAGGTACACTTAAAGGGTGAAATGCACCCCTAACCGCGCTGCCAAGCAAATAGCGTCTTGTTGCTCCCGTGCTATTTAAATTAGATTATAGGCATACATTTAGCGCAAAATCTGCCCCTTTCCATGCAAATGAGCCTTGTTGCAAAAATATTCCACTTCACAGAGATCAGTGCTAATAGCCACATGCAGCTCCAGTGAAACTACTAGTGTCTTCAGAGAGTTGGTGGTAAATGAATTTTAAGGGGTGTCATCAGGGTCTTAGAATTATGCATTAAGGATTCAGTGTAAAACTAAGGATTGAATTCAGGACAACTCGGCCTCTGCTGTTTCAATTTTGATAATTCTTCTCCAATCTATTTCTCACAATGCCCTGCCTTTATGGAAGTTACGTACAAAATAACTGGAGTGCCCTGTGTTGCATCTGTATTTGCGGTTACCAAATGTAACATGTTTTCTGTATTGCTTGTTCGCAGCAAGAGCAACACAGAGGGAGGCTCTTTCCGAGTCTTTGCTGTGAGGGAGTGAGACTTCTGATCAGAATCCCTGAGACCAACAGAGTCACCTCAGCTGCTCTTGAAGAGCAGGACGTGCCCACAGGTTGGATACCATGGCTGTTAATCTGTCTCTGTGCCTTCAGTGGAAACAGAAAGTCCCAGCAGATTTGTTCTTAAACAATAGCCACCCAGATATAGATATGTCTACATACTTACTTTATCTGTGAATACAGAATGTTTTTACATATTATGATGCTTTGACCAGCTGGTGCTGGAAGTTCTGATTTGGACATGTTTCGCTGAAATTATTATGTTTACATTGATGTTCCTATTACAAATTCAGATTGGTTTTCTTACGCAGAAAATGTATACTGATCACACTGTATTTAATCATCGTGTACAGAATGTATGATATTTTGTTTGTTTATTGTTTTATTTTGTACCATAAATTAACATTTATATGTCTATTCTGATTTTATATTTCCTTTCATTGCCTTTTTTCTGCTCACCGGGATAGTCTTTCCTTTTTGCTCTTGAGGATTTGGCCTGTGAAACCAAATCTATGTCTCGATTGTATTTATAAGTTAAGTGTTGAGCTCATTGTGAGTGAGGATGTTTTGTTGGCTGGGTAGACCAGAACTCGTCAAGCAAAATATACAAGATACAAAAGGGGAGGAAGAAATAGGGAGGTAATTGGAAGCAGCAGCAGGCAGTACATAGATTATGTTCACCTTAAGAAGACTGTTTTCACAAACAGTCCCAGACATGTGGAGGTGATTTAGTGAAGGTGTTACATTGCTAGGTTTAATATGTAGCATGTGGTAGCTGCAGATGGCTCCTCAGAATGGTCGCCTTATTGTACATGTATTAAATAACGATCGCAGACAGTAAACATGTTAAAGATAATACACAGTCATTTCATATTTATTATTGCTTAGTGCTTTTCTCATTTTCTCATCTCTCTTGTTTCTGTAAGATTTATGAAAATGCTAAATTTGCCCCCTCCCCACCTAAGACAGATGAATGTGTCACATGTTTCAGGTCAGAGAGAGTTTTATGTGTCAAGACTAGCTCATATCTTGAGGTGTGTTAATGTGTTAAAGAATCTCATTATCAAACTGCAGTTTATTCACTTTGGAACAATATACACTATGCAGTGTAGATGAGATACAGACACCTGTAATGTCTATCACTATACTGGTTTGAGGCACCGTTGCCAATGCTTCAGTCCTGAGTTGAATACTTTTCTTGTTTAAAAAAAACAAAGAACTAGTCTACTACACTAGTCTTGACATAGGTCTCTACAGTGTTTCTGCTGTGTCTCTTAAATGCACAGAAACAAAAAATACATTTTAGTATAGTAAGCATCAGCCATGTAAAGTAATTAAACGGACTTTCAGTCTAATTTGTACTTCAGGACTGTGGTGTCCAGTTGTACCATTAAGTAGTGTCACTCTATCTGTTTGTTTCCTTGAGGATGCAAAACATGCAAACAGAGAGTGTTTTCAAAGTACAAGACAAGGCTGTAAATATATCACAAATACCTGGCCAAGAAAAAAAAAAGCATCTTTATCTCTATTCTACCTCAGCCCTATTGCTACGCTAAGCATTTAAGTCTCTTCTATATGGGAATTTTTATGGGAAATGCTGAAAGTTTTGTCGAGTTATGGGAACTGTAAATACTGTTTTTCCTGTTTTTGAACAATCCTTAATGCAGTAAGATATAATTCAATTGTTTAAATGTATTTTGTAATTGTCTTGTTTTTATACAGTTGTGGGAAGGGTTCTATAATTTTTGCACAATTTGAAAATAAAGTACGACATACAAATGCTACAACAGCTGTGTCCGTTTCAGTAAAAGGTGTGTCCAGTGAGTACATGATTATTTTGTGCATTGTGCACATACTTTGGGCTACAGTGGCCTTTGAGATGAGGTGAAATCGACGGATTATTTTGAATGAGGGTGGGTAACAGTGTTTAATGGTTCTATTATACTTTGGTTATGTTCTGATAGCAGTTGGGGAGGGGACTGCCTTGTTATATTTACCACAGCCTAACCAAACAAATCAACTAACCAGGATACAGGATATAATCTCATGGATCATCAAAAGTGAAGAATCATTTTTAATTGTCATCCACAGTAACACACATATAGCTAAAACAACACCCAAGTGGATGATTGTATCCTCGGGGTAGTGAGTCACATAATATGAGAAAAACTGTGTAACTGTTATACGACTTTATTAAATCTACTTTGACCAGTGCATCAAGCTAAGTCTGTACGTCATGCTTTCTGAATGAAATTTAGATGCAGGCCACCCAAGATTTGTTCATTATCTTTGGAAGAATATCTCTGACCATGTTCATAACCTGGCTCTGCTTCATGCCGAGTGAAGTGGAACACTAAATTGAAGCAATCACTTTTACTCAAGGACCACATACGTAATCTGCCAATATGGCTTTAGTTTATGGTGGAATAATTTCAGAAGAAAGAAAGAAACTAATTTCCCATTTCACACTCCAGGGTGTTGTTCTCATTTGCCACTTTACGGATGTTTGTGACAAGCTCACTGAGATGACTAGATCCCTGTATACATGCCACCAATAAATGCCTCATTTACTCAAACCCTCATAAAGGGGCAGAGACATTGGAAGAAGAAAGGAGAGAGATGAACAGGGAAACATTTCAAGCGCTAATAATTCTTCATACCTCCAGGGCTGTTATTTGAGGCAGATGTGCGGTTTCAGTTAAGTCTTGGTTGCACAATGCTTTGGCCACTTTACTGATAAACAGCTGCAACTGGCTTGTGTGATGGCTATTTTACTCCCATTGTCCATGGAGATAAAGATTTGTACTCACCCTATAAATCCCCAGACTCCTCAGAGAAAAAACTCATTCCAACTTTCTTGTCCATGTGCTTTGCACAACATATTGTATTGGTTGTACTGTACATCTCATAGGACTCAAAAGGTAGCAGTAAAGTTTTATTTGTTTTACGTTATTGTCGTTAAAGTCTATTATGTGTCAAAACTCCTTCGGCTCTACTGGTGAACTTGATCCATCACTTTAAACATTTTCTTATAAGTCCATTATTAATGTAGGTCTATCACAAGAAATTAACTGGATATGAGATTGACACATATTTCCAACTATCTACAAAACTTAAAGGACATGGAAATAAATGTCTCTAGTGATCTGGGCTCTAAAGATCTGAGATGTAAAGAGTCTTGAGTTCAAAGGGAAGGATGGCAAAACACTGCATCTGGCAGAGCTTTGGTGAGCGATGGTTTTCAAGCATTTCTGCAGCTTTTCATTTTATGTGTAAATTCAGTATCTTATTATTATTAGCAGTGTTAAGTAAGAGTTCATTGGGAAAGCTTTGACTTACCCCTGTATAAGTTATGTTTTCTTATTTTTTCAGCATTTGTCTCATTTCCTGTTTTATTTGGGCACTTACCTGTTGTCTTTCACTTGTGTGATTACCTGCCCCACCTTGTTTGGCTTCACCTGCTCCTGATTACCCTTCCTCCCTTGTGTATGCACTCTGTGTTCTCCCCTTTGTCTGTGCCACTTTGTCTGTACTCCTTGTGGTTAGCGTTCCTGCATTTCTGTTCTCTGTCCCAGTTTCTAGTCTCTCGTCTCTCTTTGACCTGTTTGGGGATTTTTGGACTCTGCCTCAGCCTAATGACTTTGTACTTTCGCCTATCCTGACTGATCACCTGTGCAGCGAACCTTGCTTGAAAAAAGTGTTTTCTGCCGACCTGCCTCCGGAGTTTGCGTTTGAGTCCTTTGCACGACTTGTTGACACTAGCTGAGCTTCAGAGCACCACAGAAATAAGAAAGTCACGAAGTAATGCACAGTATCTTTGCAAGAGGGCTTTTAGATGAAACCAGAGGTAAGGAAATGGAATGCCATTATATTTTGCTCTGACATTCAACATTTTCATCAGAAGATACTAGGGGTGGGGGCAAAAATCGATACAGCATAGTATCGCAATATTTTGCGTGGCGGTATTGTATCGATACATGGACGCCAAGTATCGTTCTTTTATTATATAAACTATTAATATATATATATATATATATATATATATATATATATATATATATATTTATTTATTTATTTATTTTTTTTTTTAGAAAAATCAAATCAATTACTTTTTCAGTCCACTAGATGGTGCTGAGTTATTTTCTGGTGAGGTCAGCAAAGGCCCCGGGTCAGCGTGATTGGTAGGAAGTTGGTCAAAACAAAGATAGAGACATCTGGCCTCACAAAGGGGTTAAATCTGCCAACAGTAGCCAGGCTCATGGGGAGAGAGCAGCGCATAACTGTCTCTCTGCCCTTGATGTCCACGCATCGCAAGTTATACTGAGTTATATAACTCTTATATCCTACTTATATAAGTTATAGTTCATATACCAAGTCCACACGTTTGCATTTAGTTAAGTTGGACTATGTAGTAATACAAACAGTTCAGTTTGTCAGGTGCAACATTTATGACATTGTTGGTCAGTCTGTCTGCTTGACAATCCTATTTTGCTGCAATAAAAATGACTGAAGTGAGATGAACAGACTGAAAACTTTATATAAGATTAGATGTTTAGATAAAACATGTTGACACAGTTTTCCTTTGGGGACATAATTTGAAGTTGAAAAAAGTAATAAATCGCAATAAATTGCAGTATCGTGATAATATCGTATCGTGACCCAAGTATCGCGATAATATCGTATCGCGGGATCTCTGGTGATTCCCACCCCTAGAAGATAAGTCCTACTGACCTTAGTGGACTTTTTTTTTCTGCAGCCGTTGCGGTTAAGGTCACATCATTGATAATCAGACATTAAATTAACCTTTAAATGTGTCATGAATTGATAAACAAAATGTGACCTAGCGTTGAATTAACTTCTTAAGTGATGACACTGTATACGTGAGCATATTTTTCAGTCTTGCTTCATCTTCAGAAGCAAGACTTTCCAGGTCGATACACCACTTCGGCAGAATAAGAATTTCTTTTTTTTCGGGAATTGTCTAGACAACTATGGGATAGATTTCCATGACATGCAGTATATCTGTTCATAGTTGCCAGTAGATAAATTATAATGACAATGGCAGGTTGACATTCGGGCTTTTGGGACAGATCTCATTCACTCTTGCATAATTTGCTGACTAGTTGATCTGTATGGTGATAGACGAGTAGAAAGAACTTATTTCAGTATAGTTCATATACTCCAGACAAGACTTTCAGGCAGGATCTTGATCACTGTACAGAGTCTAAATTGTATGATTGTGATATTGCTCTGGTCAGAGAGGCCTTATAGTACAGCACATAGTTTATAGAAAGCAAGTTTGCAGTTTGTGTGGAGGAATTTCAGATTTAGAGACATTGGAATTATCTACCATAACAGGCGAAGCAGGGATGTGGCTGATGTTGTTATGACAGGACTTTGTCTGGCCTGGTTGTTCATCACAAGAATGTGATAAGATTTACAGATACAAAAGGAGGATAGAGGCTTTACTAAAACCATCAATCTAAAGGGAGCGTTTGAAATGTATTTGGAATATATTAAAATGTCTTCCAGCATCATTTGACTCAATATTTTTTGGTGATCTAAAGGTTGTGGTTCAGCCATGGGCTAGGTTCCTGATGGCTTATTTTTTATTGTTGCATAATATTAATAATAATAATACATTTTATTTGTGTGCCGCTTTAAAAGGTACTCAAAAACACTTTACATTGTAAAGGCAGAAACAATAAAAGCACTAAAAATATGAACAAGGCCGATAGATGACATTATAACAGTAATAAACAAAGCAAACGCATACGTAAATTGCATCACAGGTTAAAAGCAGATTTAAATAGGTGACTAGTTTCCTCCAGTCATGGAGCATTTCAGGCACTGGTTTGCGTGGCCTTTGTTTCTGTCACATTATGATGACCAAACTGAATACTAGGATTACAGTGTGAGTGAACTGCAGTAAATGATATACCTACAGTATGTGAGGAGGTAAACCAAAGTATACAAGAAATAAAAAAAGAATAATATGCCACAACCAGTAGAACCTGATTTATCTGAATAGACTTTCCAAGTTTAATATCATAACACATACACTTGTTCATTTAATATTAGGAATGCACAAAGTGCGTGAAGAGAAATCAGCTCATACAGAACCCTACATACTGTATATGGCAATAATACTAATAATTCCGTCAGGTAATAGTCTACTGAATATTTTACTTTTTTATTACTTTGCAAAGCCATAAAACACAGAATTACAAGTGATAACATCCTGCACTAATACTGGCAAACCACTCAAGGAAATTCATGCCATGACGCTTTTCTAAGTAATGTATCCTCGTCACTGTTTTATTTGGTTGGGTCTTCTGTGTTTTTTCTTGGCATTAGAGCCACCGCAGTGAATACTTGGCTGGTTCCCTCGGGACTCAGTGTGAATTCTGGCCCACAGGGAGGCAACCCCAAGTGTGAGAACAAAGGCTGTTTGTCAGAGAGATGATGAGGACTCTGTGGTGATGGTGTGTAGTCAACCAATGTGGACAGGAGAACTTAAACAAAGCCTCACTGCCCGGTAATCTATAGGCTCCACCCATTCATCTGAAACGATAAGACCTCAGTGGTAGTTTTTCTTTCTCCCTCGTGACGCACATCCATTTTGGGAAAAGTGTGGTGACGATTCACTGCCCAATGATCAAACACAAGAGTGTCAGTCAGCATTTTGTGGTGTAAACCATAATCCATGATGGTTTGAAGACATACTTTTGTCTCTTTTCCAGGATGAATATTTATATGGAAGATATACTTATATGGATAAGTG